TTTTTGTATCACCTAATTTAATAGCACTTTTAAAAAAAATGCTATTAAAATGGAAAAAACACATTTATAATAGCACTTTTTAATCGGGCGCTATTATATAATACAGACTATGTAATTTTGATAGCACTTTGTACCAAAACGCTATTATTAAACTTCTTTAAGATAGCATTTTGTATAAAACGCTATTATTTGACTACCTATATAATAGCATTTATTAAAAAGCGCTATGTTATATATAATAATGAATTAATTAATTAATTGATAAAAAAAACATTGGTATTATTGGTATAAATTGGGGATTTGGCGCACAGAAGAGAAGAGAAAAAGAAGAAGAAGTTTGGAAAGTGAAAATCGAAAAGAATGGACGATTACACGAGAGAGATGATGGACCTCAAAACCCTCGTGACTCGCACTCTTGAGAAGAAAGGCGTTCTCGCTAGGATCCGAGTATTTCATTGTTCTTCTCCCTTTTCTTCATTTTTAGGGTTTTCTTATTCAGATCCATAATTTTCAATTCTTCTTCATGTTTCAGGCTGAATTAAGAGCTAGTGTCATCCCTTTAAAAGCTCAAGTTCCTCCTTGTGACGTCTTTTCCAAAAAAGTAATGTCCAATTTTTTGGGTAGCAGGAAGGTCACATCTCCTGATTATATCGATTATCGAATTAAAAGAGCAAAATGCTTACCACAATTTAAGAATATGGCTATTAGAGGACTTCAAGGAAATCTGATTGTTTCCAATGGTGCTATTGTGGGTCCTGATAGCTTAAATGGATCAGCTCATGTTGATTATCCATCTGGAGAGGCCGGATTTGGAGTCGGCGGCAATGGGAAGTTAGTGAATGGGAATACTTCTAGTTCTGGTAGCACAACAGTTAACGGATTTAGTCAAGGGGAATTGCATTACACGAGTAATGCCGATGTCTCCGGTATTGTAAATAATGATAATGTCACAACTAAAACTCAAATTGTTGAAGATGGTACAGTTAAGGCTCAGTTAAGTTTACATGATGAAGAATTGAGAACCATTGAAGGCGATATGTGTGCGTCGTCAACGGGAGTTGTAAGGGTGCAGTCAAGAAAAAAAGCAGAGATGTTCTTGGTTCGAACAGATGGATTTTCTTGTACCAGAGAAAAGGTCACTGAATCTTCTTTGGCTTTCACTCATCCTAGCACCCAGCAACAAATGCTTATGTGGAAGTCTACACCAAAGAATGTGCTATTATTAAAAAAACTGGGGGATGAACTTTTGGAAGAAGCAAAAATGGTAATGATTTTCTTTGACTCTAATTAATGTATACATTATAATTTTTTACATATTTTTCTTCTTTCTATTATATAGAATACTTTGCAATTGTATAATTATGTTGCAAATATATATATGATAGTTTTGTATAGGTTCTCATTCTCAATCCAGTTTCTATATCTAATCTGCAGGAAGCTATCGAAGAAGAAGATCGTGTCATCGAAAAGGATCAAGCTCTGCCTCCTGCATTGTTAAGTAGCTGTAACGATCGTGCTAAACAGCTTCACGCTTCTCCTTCTGGTAATTCACCTTTTTCATACTCATTTTCTGTTTATATGCTCTATAATTATGTTTTTTTACCTAATTAGAATGTAATTTTGAGTTTGAATTACTTTAATTCAGTTATTTGCTACTATATATTCTCACACCTTTGTTGTATCCGATCCGACCTGTGCATTTTCATTCGCCTATTCTATTCTGCCTAATATGACTTATGTGTATTTATGTTTGGAGATGCTCCATTTTGAAATGTTTCTTTTTTGGTATTCACTATGCAGGTAGACTTCTTACTGCACTGGTATGTGAATACCTTGACTGGGCACAGCTTACTCACTCGCTAAAAGTTTATCTTCCAGAATGTAATTTGGTAATTAATCGATTTTCTGTTTTTTCCTTGTATTTATTATTATCTTGTTTCTTTTTGTTTATTTCTGTTATTATGTTGCTTTTGACTTGGCACACTTTTTTTTTTTGCAGGAGAAAGATTTTTGGAAGTCTGAGTTGAAAGAGTTTAGTAGCAAAAATGGATATGATCTTAATAGAAATGGAGACAGTCCCGTGCTCTTGGATGTGCTTGAAGGATTCTTGAAATTTGAGGTTTTTTATTTCATTGCACTCGTCATGTCATGTCGTTCTTTAATTCTTTATTACCGTGTTGTTTTATATGCGGGCTTCTTGGTTGTTCTGCACTGTGATTAAGATGGGTTTTGGTCCTTTAGTAATGGAATCAAGGAATGCATATGCTGCAGTTTTTTTTTTATAGTTTTGTTTGGTTGAATCTAATGGAAATGTTTTGATGACATTCCAAGGCTCTTCTGATCAAGCTAGAAAGTGCTTGCCATGTTTAATTTCATAGCTTGTGAATTGGTCTCCTTGCACCTTTGTCTTATGTTGCATGTATGTGACAACTCAAGTTTGTGAATTTTAGGTTGTGAATTGGTCTCCTATTACAATCGGGGTTATGTCAAAATGTTGTAGGGTCTTTAGGTTAGGTTGGGTTAATAGCGAGTTTTAGCATCCTAGAGGCAAGATTTTGTAATTTGGGACTTTTCAAACTTAATATTTTGAGATTTAGGAAGGGAAATTATTAACTATTATCGAGGAGGCAGCGATATAAAGAACCAGACTAGGTTATATCTTTTTTTTTTAAATGTGCAAATGATCTTGAAATCACATTACTGATTTGCTAGATGAAGCAGAAAAACTTGTAGACAAACACAAGCATCACAAGCCTATGATTGCAGACGAGACTTATAAGAACTTGCATTCATGTTTGAATCGTAAGGCAGCATCTCGTGAAGGGTCAAATGACAACAATATATATTGCCCGGAGGCTAAAATTGCATATCCTGAGGATTTACTACAATTTCAATGGCACTGGAGAAAAGGGGAGCCAGTAATTGTCAGGAACCTGCTTGGAGGTGGTACATTTAGTTCATTATTATGGGAACCATCACACATGAGCCATGCAATCAGTCAGAAGCATGAGACTGTGAAGGCCATTAATTGCTTAAGTTTATGCGAGGTTTGTGTGATTTCTCAATCTAAACATTGTGGTATTTTGGCTGACATGCAATGTTATTATCATTCTCGAGAAAAATAAAAAAAAATTCCACACATTTGGCAAAGATTTCCCAAAATAAAAATTATGCTATGTACGATAACAAGCATATTAGTTAAATGCATTTATCTGGTTTGTTCTATTATCTGTAAATAGTAATTTTTGCATTTTTAATTTGAGTTGCTGATTGAGTGCAGGAAGAAGTTACAATCAACCAGTTCTTTACTGAGTACGCTAATGATTGCATGCATTCAAGTAAACAGCCTCACATGTTGAAGTTGAAAGATTGGCCTCCTTCTGAATCATTTAAGGAATGTTTACCTATTCATTTTAAGAACTTCGTATCTTACTTGCCGTATAAAGAATACACACATCCTGTAAGTGGTTCTCTTAACCTTGCCGTGAAGTTGCCTGATGGTTGTCTGAAGCCAGACATGGGGCCAAAAGCATACATTGCTTATGGAGTTGCTAAGGAGCTTGGGCGCGGTGATTCTGTGACAAAGCTCCATTGTGACATGTCTGATGCAGTATGCTTCAATTCTTGTTGTCTTTCATGGCCTTTTTTTTTGTTGCAGAATTTATTTGCAATTATTGTGAAAAAATTGTTATTTTTTAATCAAATGATGTATTCTGATTTTTTTTGTTGGAATCTGGCATTTTAAGGTAAACGTGTTGACTCATGTTGCTAAAGTGAAATTGGGTTCTGAGAATGTTACTGCCATTGAGAAATTGATGCCAAAGAACCTTGAGCAAGACAAGAGGGAATTACATGATATTCATCAGGATGGGGAGGCTAATGATGATGGCACATCTGGGTCTAAGCTCAAAGAAGTTGAAAAAGGTACAGTGGAGCAAGGAGATAGTTTGTTGGATGCAGTGGATTCTTTGGATGGTGCTCTCTGGGATATTTTTCGAAGAAAGGATGTACCTATATTGGAGGGATATTTATACAAGCATTTCGGAGAGTTTAGTCATTTTGACTGCCATCCTTTAACGAAGGTAAATCAGTTACCACTATTTTGCATTTTCTATCTGGATGCCCTTGTTACCAGTCAGTTTTATTGGGATGCATCTTGAATGAAATATTCATTGATTATGTAGGTTACTCACCCCATCCATGATCAGACATTTTATCTGACTATGGAGCATAAGAAGAAGCTTAAGCAGGAGTGTGGTTAGTAATATTATACAGATTTTCCTATATTGGTTGGGGGCTGGACTTGTTTGGTTAGTCAAATTGTACCAATTTTGTTGATAGTTTGACATTGACTTGTAGGAATTGAGCCCTGGACCTTCACTCAGAAGCTAGGAGATGCTGTTTTCATTCCAGCTGGTTGTCCTCATCAAGTCAGAAATCTGAACGTAAAGTTTACATTCCCACTAAACATATACATTTTTTTTACTATATAGGTAGTCAGATATTTGTTCCCTCCAGTGCATGAGTAGTTCTTGGCTTATGGCATTTTTTATTGTCCAATTGTTGAATGGCCATTCAACAGAGTCACTATTGATATTCTTACTAAGTTTGGCCAAGCCTAATTTGGAATGGTCAATAGGCAAGTTAGACACGACAGATTTCTAAGCATCAACTTGAAATGTTTGTGTAAATTCCAATGATATGCATTTTCCTTTTGCAGTCATGCACCAAGGTTGCACTTGATTTTGTATCACCTGAAAATTTTGGTGAGTGCATCCGTTTGACAGAAGAATTCCGCAAACTTCCGAAAAATCACGGGTCCAACGAGGACAAATTGCAGGTATGCAAACACTGCTTTTCCAGATTGGATTTTTCTGTTCATATGCTTATCCAATATATTCAGATAATGCATCTTGATTTTGTCATTAGTTTCTCAATTACTTTTTCTTTTGAACACCTTGTCCATCCGTGACAAACCAAGATTTCCTTTTCGCGGGCTCATGTTAGGTGAGCCAAGAGATGAGTTTATATTTTATTTGGCTTGTTCATATGCTTTGATAAGAAGGTGTTGACACAAATCTTTGATTTCTTTGTGTTGCAGATACATCAAGACACTATTTCCCAGTTAATGTTATTAAGCAGATAATTGAATCTATGTCATATGCCAAACTTGTAAGACAAATATCATGAGTTCGTTTATACTTTCCTCTTGGTTATTTGTGACAGTTTGAAACCATGTTGTTTTTCATTATATGCTGATATGGAATGTTTTACATGGCAGAATGTTTTACATTGGCACATTATAGACGAACAGTCATTTCCTCTTGAAGTACCTTCATATCCGAACTTGTGGAAAGGTTCATACTCAGAGTGGGAACGATACACAATTGAGGATGCATATGAAATTGTCAAGTAAGATACTTCGTGTTATGTCTTTCAGTTGGCTTTCGCAATCTATGACTCACTAACGCTGTTCTCTTTTCATGTTTTACTTAATTTGTCATAATATAAAGCTTTGCCAAAATGAGAGGTAAGGTATCACGAAATTCCTTTGAAGTTTCCTTTTCGTATTATTTACAGCACTTTGCAGTTTTGATATTGCAAGATAATTGAAGTTTCTATTTGCATGATTTATCACAGGTATAAATGTGATGGCCGAAATGGATGTCCCTGGTCATACAAAGTCATGGTAAAGCTTATGCAATTCTCAATTTTCTCTTAAGCTGAGAGTCTTTTCGATTTATACTAAGGCTTAGTTTACCTAAGTAATGTTTTAAGGTTGTTATATTTTGTTTCTGGTTAGGGGTATTGGATATCCAGATGTTTGGCCGTCACCCTCGTGTAAGAGCCCACTCGATCTTTCAAAGGAGTCTACCTTTGATGTACTTTCTGGCATTATGACAGGTTAAGTTCCTATGAAACATGCATTGATTTTCTAAATGAATTTATGCCGTTTTACTTTTCTAACTATTTTCTTCTAAACTTACAGATATGAGAAAAATATTCCCCTTTGAACTATTTCACTTGGGTGGTGATGAAGTGAATACAGGTTGGTATGCATGAATTTCTTGACAAAATCTTTAATTTGTTAACTAAAGTCCTAAGAATCGTTTTTATTATTAGGACAATCTAACAAACAATCATAATGTATAAGAAATTGCTGATTATTTTGACAGATTGTTGGACCAATACTTCTCGTGTGAATAAGTGGTACAAATTTCAATCTTTTATACACATTCATTAGTCATTACATTCCAGATGATTTTTTTATTGCTTATAGCTGTAAATTTACAATGGAAACTCAAATTTTATTGAAGTGGTCAAAGAAAGTTAACCATCAAAATAAATAAATTTGATTAGTGTCATGTATCAAGCAAAATATTCAGACGCGACATTATCTCAAATGCAGGCTTCAGAATCAGAACATGACTCCTAATGATGCTTACGAATATTTTGTATTGAAGGCGCAAAACATTGCTCTTTCGAAAAATTGGACTCCTGTGAACTGGTATGATTTATAGATCTAATGATGCTTATGAGTATTTTGAGCAATAACTATAGCCATGTTATTTAGATGCGACCTTTTTATGTAACTTATCAGGGAAGAAACCTTCAATTCATTTGCGACAAAGCTCCACCCGCAAACTATAGTGCATAATTGGTGAGTTGTCGTTTGTGTAGTTTAATTTTGGTGAAAATCTCAAACGACTCGGTCCTGAAGTATTTTAAGTAATTATTTCTATAGGTGGAGCTCCGGTGTTTGCCCAAAGGTTGTTGCAAAAGGCTTGAGGTGTATTTTCAGTAACCTGCGTGTATGGTATCTTGACCATGTAGATGTACCTTGGGATGTTGTCTATAACGCCGACCCACTAGAAGGAATACAGGAAGCTTCTGAACAAAAACTTGTGCTTGGAGGTGAAGTTTGCATGTGGGGTGAGGTAGCTGATACATTGTTGATGTTTTCATATTTGAAGTACTTTTTTGACCACAAATGTCGTACCTACTCTCATGATAAGTTAACTGAGGTTAAGGAGGATTGGGCTACTTATGTGGTGGATGATGTTTTCGGTGAGTTTTTCCTTGACTTGATACTTGATAAACAAGACAAATATTACTCATGGATTTAGAGTTCAAATGTTTTGACTTAGATGTTTAATTTTAATTTTTGAGTTGGATTTAGAGTTGTCGTATAAATGATTTTAGTATTTTATTGGTTTAGAAGATATGGCACAGAGGTACTGAGTGTTCTTTCTTGGTCTCGAATTTAAATTTTGAAATAGGAAAATACGGAAAAATGACTTATATCTTATTGTATGATTGATTTATAGTTTTCCGTTTCTACTTGAAATTTTTAGATATTCGTAGTAACAATTGTAAGGTGTTTGATATCTAGTTCTGGATCATGAAAAGAAAGTTACACACAATTAAGTGTTTATGTATATTTTGAGAATTTGAATTATATTCTGTTTAGTGTTTATATGCATCTAATAATGGAAATTGTGGTCTATATATTTACAAGTCATGTTCTTGTTAGACTTAATTAGTTCAATTATTGCATTAGTTATATCGATTTATTGTTATTAGTTTATAATAATCATTCCTTATTTTATGCGCTTCTTGTTAGACCCATATTAAATGTTTGATTATTCTTTATATGTTGAATTAGTTTTTATTGTACAATACATAATCAATATTCCTTCTATGATATAGGAAAACAAGAAGCAATTATTTTGCCTAATTAGTGATTGTATCTATGAGTTCAACGCTTTGGATCATGAAGGTGGTTACTACATGGGATTGTTTTGTTATCCTTTCTTATTTTTTTGGTGTTTTGTTTAGAGAATTTGATTGTATGTTTTTGAATTTGGATTGAAGTACTCATAGATGGGCATCTACAAATTTGGCTATGCAAACGCCCTCTTAATATTCTATATGTTATGATATTTGGAAACAATAGGATTTGGTAATTTAAAATGTTATTTGGTATTTGATGGATCATAATATATATGCAATGAGTAACTTAAAACGTTATTTGTGTTGAATTGAATATAGTTATTTTATATTTACACCAAAAAAAATGATTGTGTAAGAAAAAATATTGTACTGTACTTATTAAAAATATTGTACCAAATATGTACCATTTATTAGCACTTTATTTGAAAGCGCTATCAAACATATGTTATATATTAGCGCTTTTTGTTTAGAGTGCTATAAAAAAACAAACAAAAAACATGCAAAATACTGACTTTGATAGCACTTTAATTAAAACGCTATTATAAATTGGTACTTTAATAGCGCTTTTAAAGTGCTATTAAATAAGAAATATTTACAATAGTGGCGCGGTTAATAGCACTTTTAAGCGCTATCAAAAACAAAAAAAAAGCGCTATTAAATAGCTTATTTGGCGTAGTGCTTGTGGAGGATACGCATTACTCAGAATTAATCGCTTTATTATTCATTTTTCAGGTTCCTATTTTAATAAGTATAATTTATTTATTTCTTACCATACATGCGTTGTTGAATTTACATTTTAATTTTATGTTGTTCTGCGGTAAAATTATGTCTTGCTAGATTCTCTGATACTGGTATGTAAAACATAACCGAAAGGATTCGGTAATTAACTGACATTATTATTTTTACAAAAAAAATTTCTGGTTTTAATTTCTAATTTGAATATTTAATTGTTTTTGTACAGAAGTAAGAGACAGTCTAAGGTTAAAATCAACTGAGCAGAAGTTTGAGATTTTAACCAGATAGTGGTTATTAAAATATTAATTTTACAAACAGCAGAAGCACTTTAAAGTTAATTGGACTTTATTTGTTTTCAAAAAATACTTTTGAGTTTTAAATGAAACAGTGGAAGTGCTCATTTCGAGCTTAATTAATATGATCTGATTCAATAGAACAGAAGTTTGAGATGAGGGTCTTTAAACAAACAGTTTTCACCGAAATGGTGTTTTAATACTAAAAACAAATGCCAATGACTTACTGAATCCCTTAAGTTGACGAAATACATATCGGTGTCCCGTTATTAATTATTAGACTTTAGTTAATTCCTGATTTAACCCAAACACCCTGATTTTATAATTAGCCTTAGCTTTACATAGTGACCCTAAGATAACAGTAGTTTTGACCATCAGTCCTTGTGGGTTCGATATCTTTTAAAACTACGCGACAGACTGTGCACTTGCAGCCACTACACCCGATAGACCTACAAAGTCGCGATCACTTCCTCCTTCTATCACCTTTTGCACCGCCTTCTCTTTATACTCACAACCTTCTTTATAATGACCAAACCGACCACAAACAAGGCACAACAAATGAGGACCTTCATACTCAATTTTACTGCTATCTTGAATACATAACATAGCGAGTAAAGGTTTGGATAAGTTAACCGCCACACAAACTCTTGCATATTTTCCTCTTTCTTCCTTAATCGTGGTTTTGTCAACTTTAATGGTACGACCGATATGATTACCAAAGACTGTCAATGCCCTAAGATCATAGTACACGATGGACAACCCTGATATTCTCACCCACACCGCCCCTTCATCTATAGTATCACTATCTGGTTGGAAATTAGGGCACCAATACTTAACTGTTAGATAGTGATCATAGATAAACCAAGGTCCATTCTCCATAATCTCTTTCTTGTCATCTTCATGCGAGAAATCCACTAAGTAATAGTCATTACTTAGATCTATAATACTGATAACTCTTTTTCTTACCCACATTTGATTCAATCTATTCTCCAAAATTTTATATACAACTCTTCTCCCCAGCAGTTTAACGATGATCCCTCTACGCCAAGGTCGTTGTATCCTTTTCTCTTTCTCAACAGAAAAAACAAACTTCGAACACTCATATCCCCCTATTATCTTCTCCTCCACTTTTATGTCACCAAACACATCTTTCAGAATCTCGTCATCCTCATACTCATTCTTTTTTCCTCTTCCATATCCTCCACACTCCTCCCCTTTATTATATCTCTAAAGGATATTTTTACTCCACCAGAATTCGATTCCATATTTTCTTTATTTCCCTGAACAATTTCTTTAACTTTCTTAATACTTCGCTCTTGCAAATCAAATCAATCTCTGCCGTACTCTTCCCTGGACTCGCCAAAGGAAGATCATACACCGGAGAAAATTAGAACACCATGGACAATTTGGATGACATCATCAGACTCAGGTGTTCTTTAAATTGGGGAAGACAACTCGTGAGACTTTCATTTTGATATGACAGTAAAAAAATCAACTAAAAAAGAGTTTGAGCATTGATTGAGTTTTTTTTTTCTAAATAATTTAAGCACTCGTACACCTAAGAGTTTGAGCATTGATTAGGAATTTTTTTCCTTGCAGTGAATCAGAAAAGTTATCGAAATAAAAGTTGTAGTCATTATTGTAAAACAACATTTACATCAAAGACGCTAAAACTTCTCCAAAGACGTGGCATTTAAAAAATTAATAATCAGGAGTCTCATTTATTTTCATTAAGTACACATTAATTACAATTTTTTTAAAAGTTTTTTCTTGTTAAGTTTTCATAAAATTTTTGTTCTAGATTGGCCCTGCCCGTGGCCCAATCACTAGTGAGGCCCAATCTGAGCTTGTCAACATACCGTGATGAGCAGTATACCCTCCGAGCACACCCCGATCATGGGTATCTGGTCGGCTACGATTTCTTCCCGCGGGTTCCCGCGAGGAATGTCCCCGACGAGCACATGCTTCCACCGAGCACCCTCCTCGTAGGGTTGACTTTCAACCTCTCCGAATTTCACGGAGTCTTCATGGTCCCGGGAAGATCGCGTCTTTATCCTCACTGTCTTGCGTAGGGCGTCATCCAGGTAGGGGGCCACGTACAGGTCCCCACTACTCACGTAAAACCTGGCAGTCGCTTTGTTGGGCATGTTTGATCAGCCCATAAAGAGACCTTGGCCCAGCGTTGGGGGCTATAAATACCCTCTATTTCGAGAGGGACAGATATTCATTCATTCACACCTATATTCATACTTTCTTGCTCATTCTGTCTCTCACTTAGCCATCGGAGTGTCTTGCAGGTACCCCCCCCCCCCATCTCCTTCAAATCCAGCTCGAAGCCAGTTGTGACGGTCCAACTCTGATCAGGTCCGATCAGTGGCGTCATCTGTGGGAATCTAAGCTTCCTCGTATTCTCTTCGTTTAAAAGACAAAAACTAACAATCCTCGACTGTCATGGCTGACCAAACTCAAGACAATCAGAACGTCTGTGTCATCGACGTTAATAACAACATCTCCGACAATAATGTCGGCCTCGATAACGCTTGTACTGCCGACCATAATACGATCCCTGGCGTCAACATCCCCGGACCTTCTAACTACCGGGACGGAGCCACGGCTTCTTCTTCATCAATCCCTCCTCGACTTGAAGAAGATCAACCAATTCCTCTGAACTACCCAGTCGTCCAATTCCACGAGGTCCCCGACCCCGCCGGGGCGGACGCCACGACTAGGGCATTGTTCGTGGCGATTAACCAAACCAACTATCTCATCTTTGCCTAGGGGAAAGACTGAGAGCACTCGAGGACGATCGAAGGCCCCCTAGAAGGCACAAAAGACCTCAATATCCTCCCCCTCGACAAGCGAAAGAACATCCCCGATCTCCCCCACAGAGACAGAATCGGGACATCTCTCGAAGCCCGACGCCTCGACCAATCGGGCGACGACCCACTTTGGAGAAGGAACCACTCGTCGATGCAGGAAGGCACGACCATGGCCCCTCACGACAAGAACGAAGACCTCCTGGAGACAGACACGAGGGAAACCATCAACCGTCACACCGCTTGAGGAACGCTCTGCACAACCAGGGCCACCGTGACTGCCAATACATTGGATCCTCGTCCCGCTCCCTAGAACACAGTGACGAGGATGACCCTCGCGGTCCCTTATCACAAGATATCATGGAGGCGCCCATTCCCTCGGGCATGGAAAAGCCTCCCCACTTAAAGGAGTATGACAGCGTCGCCGACCCGGTCGACCACATAGACGGGTTCGAAGCCATGCTGCACTACCACAATGTCGGGGGACCAATCAAATGTCGATTCTTCCCCATGACTCTGAGGAAAGCGGTTATGGAATGGTACAAAGGTCTCGCCTCGGGGTAAATTACCTCTTGGCGAAACCTGAAGAACCAGTTCATTAGCTCGTTCACTGCTTCACGACGACACCCGAAAACCGAAGCAGCGCTCGAGGCCATCGTCCAGAAACACGATGAGACCTTAAGAGAATTCATTAACCGCTTCAACCGGGAAGCCATCCAGGTCCCCTGCATGGACCATATGAAAAGATACTTGCTGGAGAGGGGGCTCTTCCCCGGCACCGAATTCAGAAAAGTTGTGGGCATCGAACCACCCCGGACGTTTGATGGCCTCCTCAAAAATGCCATAGCCTACATGGACTACGAGGAGAGAGAAGCGGACAACAGAGCCCGAGACCCCAGAAACCGCGGATCCAGCAGCAATCCGCGACAAGACGTTGCCCCTCCTCGATGAACTGGAGAAAAGAGAAGGGACGATAAACCCCGTGACACCTGGGAACAAAGGGGACCCTCGGGGAGGTTCCCAGAATACACTCCGCTTACAGCTTCCCGCGAGCGCATCTTAGCGGAGTGGGCAAGTACATATTTCAAGGACGGCGGTGTCAAACGCCCCCGCCCAGCTTCTGCCAAACTCGAGGTGGACCGAAGCAAATATTGTCAGTACCAC